AAAGCAGGAGGACCAAGGTCTGGCAGCCTGGTTATGTGTTTCAAGACCCTGGACTGAGAGATCAAGGTCCAAGGCTGGCAGGATAAAGAAATAGGATACGAGGGATATGTGTGGGGAGCGGTGGTGGAGGGCGCAAGGGAGGCTTCAAAGGCAAATAACAAAGAAAGAGACTACAAGAAACATGCAATTAACTGGGATCTAAGAAAACTTTAAATCACTGAAGTAACTAATTACTTGCAAATGAATGCTGTCTATCCAGGTAAAGGCTACATACTGTAGCTACTTTATGGGAGTCAAATGGATACTATTGTATTGAACATTGTGTAAAATGTTAAATTTAAATCTGAGATTGAGATTTAAGATGTAGTGAAAGGGGTAATAACTGTCTGGTTGAAATATTCCAGATTTGTGTATATATAATGGAGACAAATTAGCTGTGATTGATTGATTGATTGTCACATGTACCGAATTACAGTGAAAAGCTTTGTTTACAGGCAGATCAAAGTTAGCAAGGATGTACAGATCAAAAAGACCTAACAGAGGCATGCAGGTTACATTGCACAGGGTGTGTGCTAGGCGAGATCAACATTAGCAAAATCAGCATTATTTGAGGCTAGAGAGTCCATTCATCAGTCTAATAATTGCTGGAAAGAACTGTTCTTGAACCTGCTGGTGCATGTATTCAGGTTTCTATATCTTCTGCCTGACAGAAGAGGATGTAGGACATCATTACCCTGGTGCGATGTGTCTTTAATGATATTGGCAGCCTTTCGACAGCAGCGAGCCATGTAAATGGAGTCCATGGATGGAAGGTTGGCTTCCTTGATGGTTTGGGCTGTGCACACCATCTTCTGTAGTTTCTTATGGTCCTTGGCAGAGCAATTGCCATACCAGGCCGTTATGCACCCAGACAGTATGCTTTCAATTGTGCATCTGTAGAAGTTGATGAGGGACTTTATGGACATGCAAAATTTCCTGAGCCGCCTGACAAAGAAGAGGTGTTGTTTTGACCATTGCATCTAAGTGGGAAATCAAGGGGAAGTTGTCGATTATCATCAGGCCGAGGAACTTGACGCTCTCCACCCTCTGGACCTCAGTTCCTTTGATGTAGATGGGGGCGTGTTCTCCTCCTTTCTTTCTGAAGTCAATGATCAGTTCTTTAGTTTTGCCAATGTTGGGAGAGAGTTTGTTCTCATTGCACCACATCATCAAGCCCTCTATTTCCCTTCTGTATTTTGAATTGTCATTGTTAGATATCTGTCCTACGATGGTGGTGTCGTCAGCGAACATGTAGATGGCGTTCATTCGGAATTTGGCAATACAGTTTGGGTGCTCAGGGATTACAGTCCGGGGCTGAGGACGCATCCTTGAGGGGCTCCAGTGTTGAGTGTTATTGTGGATGAGGTGCAGTTACCTATCTTTACTGATTATGGTCTATGGGTCAGAAAACCGAGGATCCAGTTGCAGAGGGCAGAACCGAGATCAAGCCGAGACCTTGATTCATCAGTATACAGAAGGTGATGGCTTTTAGTTGATGGCTTTTTGTGTGTAGAAGTGTCTGTCAGTTATTTTGAAAAACAAATTTTTGCTAACTTATGCCTATTATTTGTGACAGTTTAAATACTGTGGTATTTACAAAATAGAAAATAGAACACTTAGGAAATAAAAAGTGAAAACGCAATGTTCAAGGGTATTTGAGTTAATGTTTTGGACCCGAAATATTAACCCTGATTTCTCTTCACGATGCTGCTAGACCTGCTGAGCTATTCCAGCAACTTCTGTTTTTGTTTCTGATTTACAGCATCTGCAGTTCTTTCAGTTTTTAATTTGTTCAAGAGTATTCAATGTTCTGGAAACATAGGCAAAAAGGAGGTGGTAGGTATTAGTGCAGTGGTGAGTAGTGATATAGGTGTAATTGATCATGATATGAATCCATTTTGGTGGAAATATGGAATTACAAGGAAAAGACATCAAGGGTGGCAGTTGTTTATGGGATTCTGAACAATTGTGTCACTGCAGAACAAAGTATAAATTAGGAAGTAATTGAGATAAAGAGGCCAGTATAGTTGTCATGGGTGATTTTAATCTGTATATTGATTGGATAAATTAGATCAATAAGATGAACTTGTAGATGCATCAGAGATTGTTCCTTAGAGCAATATATTGCACAACCTGTTCAGGTACAGGCTATTTTAGATACTGTAAACCATAATCAGGTAGGATTAATAGAAAATCTCATAGTTAGGGGTCCCCTAGCAATCATAATATGGTGGAATTTCAAGTTAAGTTTCAGGGAGAGAAATTTGAGTTTCAGATCTTCTAGTTGCTTGCCAGTTCAATAAACTACCTTGCTCTGATACTAACATTTCAGTCTTGGGCCTGCAATAGTGTTCAACTGAAGCTCAATGCAAGCGTGGTGAAGAAAACCTCATTTTCTACCTAGGCACTCTATCGCCTCCAGGACTCAATGTTGAGTTTCACAACTTCAGAACATGACCTCTAACCTCTAACCTCTATTTTTCTTACATCACCCATCCACCCCATTCCGAGTTTGTGTTGTTTGTTTTACACTCAGTAGAGCAGACCCATTTTCTCTATTTCACACCTTCATTTAAACCTATTTTACATGTCTATCCAGAGATAGTAGGAACTGCCGATGCTGGAGAATCTGAGATAACAAAGTGTGGAGCTGGATGAA